GCACTCAGCTGGTGGTCATTAGGCTCCTCTCCAGACTATAAAAGGACTGCTTGTGCACACACTCCTCTTACAGAAGTCAACGCAGGAGCGAATGTTGGAGAACATTATTGTGAGCTTGGCAGCCTAGATTGCTGCCACGGCTTATCTGTGCTGGATTGCTGCCAAGCTTGTCTGTGCCGGTTTGCTGCCAAGGATCTGTCTGTCTGTTAATTAAATGCCGTAACTTATATTTGGCTCGGAATGTGTGTTGATGTGGGATGAGGGGGGTCAGAACTGTATACATTTTTCTATGATAAAATAAGAGCAATAACAAGAGAAAACATGGAACAATTGAATAGTAACCGACTGCAACTTAATACAAATATGTATTACTGTTAGAAATATATAAGTTGCTTGAATGTAATAACTAGGATTAATTTTATTAGTTTTATTTGTATTTGAATGTATGACACCCAGATGCCACACTGTTCATGCATTGATATATTTGTAAAAACAATAAAAAAATTAAAAAAACTTTAAAAAAAAAGAATATGTGCAGCCTTTTCTATGCTTTCTATTCAGAAAAAAAAGACACCACACATCATAGTGGGAGAGTAGAATCATTCCAGGCTTTTATATGATTTACACATTGTGTCAAATATGCAGGTGACCCAGAATTGCAGTCTACCCAACACCCAAAATAACAGAATGAGATTACAATAGGTTGGACAGGTTGGAGAAGAGACATGAAATCCTTTCCTTCTCTGTCCTGATGAACACTTGGAGCAGATTCTACAGACATTTCCATAAAAATATTGATCCAACCAGTATACATACACTGTATGTATGTTTCTAAACCTCTATAAAGATTCTGAGTCCAAATTACAAAAGCAACATAGCAATAGCACTTAGACTTATATACCACTTTATATCACTTTACAGCCCTCTCTTAGCAGTTTACAGAGTCAGCCTGTTGCTCCCAACAATCTGGGTCCTCATTTTGCCCACCTCGGAAGGATGGAAGGCTGAGTCAACCTTGAGCCTGGTGAGATTTGAACTGCCAAATTGCAGGTAGCCGGCAGTCAGCAGAAGTAGCCCGCAGTACTGTACTCTAACCACTGTGCTACCGTGGCTCTTGATAAAGAATGCAAGAGTAAAACTATGAATTGAATGGACCAACAATGAAAATAATGTGCTATTTTTGAACAATGTGGCTGTGAAGAATACAACAGGTTGGAGCATTTTTTTTTAGACCAGGAAACATCTACACACAAGAAGACCTTTTGTGTTGTTTTTATGTGGCAGGCATACCATGAAAACCAGCCGTTGGTGATTAAAATCTTGTTAATAAGTCACAGTAATAAACAAGAGAGCCAGGATAATATTGCATTTTAATTTGCCAGGTGGCCAACCTGACTAGGAGGAAAACAAGGCATAAAAAACCCCCCAACTAAAGTAACACAATATTACTGAGGGGTCACTAATGTCACAATCAACTTTTGGAAGAGTTCCATAATGCGTTTCAAGCCCATCTGGACAATGATCCCTTCCACCTAGATTAATGTGCTTATTTCACAGCAAAGCATTTAAAGAAGCATTCAGAGAAATACATTCAGACAAGGACCATAAGGGCGAACAAGGGGACAGAAAATAAGTCCCATGATGAGAGATTAAAGGAACCAGAAGAGATGATTAGGTATGATACTACTTGAAAGGACATCAGGCAGGATAAGGTTAAGTTTGTTTCTCTATCATTCCAGGACATGGAATAATGGACTTAAGATACAGGAAGACAGATTCAAATTGAATGTTAGGAAAATATATATCTAATACCAGGAGTAAAAGCATTTTGTCTCTAGACCAAAAACCTCATGGTTTCATTTGCTGAACATGATTTAATTTGGATCTTTGGACTGAACAAAGCTTAGACTTCATAAGCCTAAATAGAAACATAAAAATATATGATTCTATAGGAATAGCAACAGCACTTAGACTTATATACCACTCCACAGTGCTTTACAGCCCTCTCTAAGTGGTTTACAGAGTCAGCCTACTGTCCCCAACAATCTGGGTCCTCCTTTTACCCACCTCGGAAGGATGGAAGGCTGAGTCAACCTTGAGCCTGGTGAGATTTGAACTACCAAATTGCAGGCAGTTGGTGGGCAGCAGGAGTAGCCTGCAGTACTGCATTCTAACCACTGTGCCACTGTGGCTCATAATGAAGATAAATGAAATGAAGAATGAAGAAAAAAAACCATAGAGTGTTTCAACTGGTAATCCAAGTGGAAAAGATGTTTCCTGCCTGCTTCAGACACAAAAGTGGAGGCTGTTTAAAATCATAGAAAAGCAAGAAATCAGAGATTCAGTGAATAAAAAAGAGGGTTATGGTACATCCAAATGCCAGTGTAAGGATGGTCATTGTTCTCTAAGATTCTACAAAAATCCACAGCCAATATTTGATCCTCTATCTGAGGTTTCCACGAAACCTTGCATCCAGGGGCGGGCTTCAAAAATTTTAGCAATGGGTTCTCTGCCCAGCTATGGCAGAGAACGGTGGGCATGGCCATGGTGGGCATGGCCATGTCAGCCTCCTGCCCCATGGTGTGGGGGTTGTTTTCAACCTCCCCAGGCTCCGGAGGCTCTCTGGAGGCTGGAAACAGGCCCATTTCCAGCCTTTCAGAACTTCAGGAGGCCTGTTTTTTGCCTTTCCCAGGCAGTGGAGGCTTTCCTAGAGCCTCCAGGAGGTTGAAAATGGCCTCCTCAAGCTCCAGAGGCTTCCCGGAGGCTGGAAACAGGCCCATTTCCAGCTTTCCAGAGCTTCCAGGAAGCCCATTTTTGCCCTCCCTGAGCCTCTGTGTGGGCGCTGCACTTACCTGGCATCCAAAACGTGTGGAGACTCCTGGGAGGGGCAGGGCAGAGTGGGTGAGGCCTGCCAGGAGTGGGATTTGGGGGTTTGCCGAACCGCGCAGAATCTTTGCTAGAGGATCGCCCAGACCCTGGAGCAGCCCACCCCTGCTTGCATCACAGTGGTGTGTTACACTTTAAGCTACTTCCAAATTTTCAATCATTTCAAAATTGTCATATCTAGAAGATTGTCTTACCTGCTTCTTTGGTTCGGATCACTTTTGATGGTGTGCTTGGATCTCCTGTTCCAATTTTGTTGGTTGCTACAACTCTAAATTCATACTCTACCCATGGGTTCAGTTCAATTGCTGTTGCAGATTCCAGGTCACCCCCTATGTGTTCAGGAACTGCGAAGAACAAAGGATTAAAGCATACTACCTTGAATTTCTCTCTAATCACTAGTCACTAATCAAGCCAGAGGAAACCACCCAGAGTTAATGGCACAATTAAGAATTTGACTTTTGCCAATTTGCTTTTTCAGATTCATGATAAAATATCCAGATTCAAAATTTCTTCAAATGCTGCAATGCAGGTTTTTCAATTTAACTATACTCAAATAAATACGTAAATACTATTCTTTATTGTTGTTATATGTTATTTCATACAGATTAAATATAAAATTAGGGGCAGAGTTCTCTTGTAGCTTCTCTCCTTTTTTTCTTTGATGCTTTAAAGATATGTGAGTGTATTTGATGGCATAGTATCAGACAAGAATCTCTGAATACTACCTCCACTTTGTTTTATTCTCAAACTAGTTGATAACCCAGCGTTGCTCGGGTATTTATTTATAGGGGGGGGAATGTTCGGAATAAATGTAATTTCTAATGTTGGATTTTTCCCCTTAACAGACGGAGCCCTCTTGTGGAGTACTGTGAATCTGCTATCATGGCAAGTCCACTGCGCAGTACAGTAGAATCCATTTTAAGTCACAACAGGCTGTATCTTAACTGAACACACATCCTAAGGGGTGTTATCCCTGCAGTGTGTTTTTTTCCCAGAGAGTAAGTCATCTGTGTACCAAGTTTGGTTGAAATTGCTCGAGGTGTTCTAGAATTATGCTGGACCATATAGACACACAGACATATATATGTACTGTATGTATTCTATATACACTCTTATCAACCTTATAAGGAAACCTTAGACTTGACTTTTGAATATTCCCCCTGAAAAGAAAAAAGGAACTAAAAGGATCCAGTAGAAGAGAGATAACCAACTGTGGAAGACTCAGTGGTCTTCCAGCATTGAAACTTCAACTCAAGTGATACAGAAAAAAGAAACAGTATATTGATGTAGGCTATTATGGCCAGTAGTTATTAGGTGACTTCACGATTTAGCGACTGTGCTCTAGAAAACAGATTTCCTGATGTTTTGATTGCAACTTATGGCTGGCACCTTCAGAAGGAAGGTGATATGCTTTTTAGACCACAGGCAATTAAGCAGAGATCAACTGGACTCTATCTTTGTAACTAGGTCTTCATTGGCCTTTAGCCAAGTTGGTTTCTGATTGGTTCAGGTTAGTGAGGGCTGGTCTCTGAATGGCTCTTTGTGCTCTATATACATTATAGGCACATTTTGCAAGAAAAAAATATGGAAGCCCAGACAGCAAACACTTCTGTGTCCATGTGATGTTGTTCATAGATTCTGGATAAAAGAACTATGCCAGCTTTGGATTGCTGTAGTTCATTTCAATGTAGATTCTCACAAAAGAAAATGTAGATTTTCTCACAGCAGGAAATGGTCAGAAACAAAGACAAAATAATAGGGGAGAAAAACCACAACTTGCTAAATTCCGAAACACAGGTGTGAACTGGAAAATACATTAGAAAAAAAGAAAGTTCCTGTTTTGTTTTTCCATATTAGGAGCTGTCTGCTGAAGCAATTAATGAATCTAATGAACCTGCTTGATTGATGTTAAATAATAATAACAATAACAACAACAACAACAACAATAATAATAATGCCATTAAGGCCAAAATCGAAAAATCCTCTGATGATGCCAAATGCAGACTTTGCAAAGAAGCTGATGAAACTGTTGATCACATACTCA